TTTAAAACTCAGCATATCAAGATTATAAACATCACATGTTTTAAAACGGTGAAAAATGTTTTTTTACCATCCCTATAATTAGTTGGTAATGTGGTTGGTAAGTTTCATAGTTTGAACAAAGCCCACAACAACCTAAAGTAAAAAAATTATCTACACTTTGCACGAAGATAGATATGTCACAAGGCAATTGGGCATGTCCTAGTCATGTGACATATTTGTCCTAATTGATTGGCCAGCGGCGGTAATCAAAGGTGCAGATGTTCAAACAGCATAAAAAAAAGACGAGCAAGAGTTACAGAAAGCTGAAGTGCAATTTTCTGATCAAGAGGACACGCCTCAATTCAGGGCATGCCCTTGAAGGCATGCCTAATTTTTTACCTGTGCTTCCAACCCTACTTTGCACGAATGGAAAGGTTTTCAAAATAACAGTAAAAGAACTCGGCTAGGAAGCCTCTATTCTGTAACTGTAAAAAAACAAATCATCAGTTAGCGTTAAAATATCGATATGGTATCGTTGTTCCTGAACCATTCACGTGATTACGTAAACCAACGCGTTTAAACAGTTTTTTTTAGGATCATAAGAGCCAAGCAGTCACCATATCAATTATATCAATTCATCATTTTGGACTTTTAAATTGTCTCTTGAATTGCTGGAAATAAATAAGACGCGTTGTATTTGCAATAATTTAAAAGTGCATCGCGACATTACTTGAATTGACGCTAATTAAAATCTTACGAGGTCTATTTAATATTCGGCGTTTAAACATAGCTCCGTTTAAATTAATTTGATATGTATCAAATTGGATGATAGATCGCGTATATATTGATATTATGGTAAAAAAAACTTATCAGATACTTGGTCACAAAATTCAAAACAAGCAATTTTGAATTTTGGACGTCCAATTGCATATTGTGAAACGTAATGATTTTTTATATAAACCACGCACTAAAAATAAACAACCCCAATCGATATAACATTCACTTCCTTTCAAATAAGATTCTAACACCGAGATCTGTTAGTTAATATTTACTCTCAAGTGAGTTAACAATACGGTATTTTTAGTTTCTTAAAACCAACCGATGGTAACCTCTAACGTTTATCGGAATTCTATACTCTTTTATTCTGAAGCTCCCATTACATCTTTGTGTTTTATATGTATTAGATCGTTGGCAGTTATATTTTTGTCTTTTGACAGGAATGCCTCTTTATCAAAGGAAACAAATTCCTCTCATTCCTGCTCCAAAGTTAGATGTTTCCGAGCATGGTGATCGTAACGTTTGGATAATTCCGTACACCTCTGAAATCTTTATTAAATATGAGTATCCTTTTGCGTATATCAATTAATTGATCGACTCAAATATCCTAAAAAAAAATTTATAGTCAAAAGAATTCATCAAGGATTGTGGTCTTTCGTGTAAATCATTGGTTTATGCTTCTGTTACCAAACAAGCAGAGCCACATATTTAGTGTTATTCAATATCTTCCTTGACCTAAATTGTACCGATTCCTTTTTTTGATACAACTGTTTTTTTTAGAGATTATTTGGCACGTACTGCACTCTATAACCGGCCTATGTGGCAATGTGAGTTAACGGGTAAACAAGGACTTACTTATAAAGAAGCACTTGATAGCGAGAACACGCATAGAGAAGCGTTACATGAAAAGTTCCCAGAGGGTTTGAAACGTCAAATATTGGAGTTTGTTCAATTTCGTGGGTAAAACAGTCAATACTCTGTAGAAAAAGACACGTTATCAATTTATTTAATTATTTAATCATTTATTATATTTTGATTTAAGAATGCCCGCACTGTAGAATCGTGTTCTTACAGATCGATTGTCAATTTAGTTGCTGATTAGTCTAATC